AATATTATCCATCTTAAATATATGTTTTATTTTTTACTTTTATTTTTTATTAAGTAAAAATCTAATAAATAGATTGTGACAAGTTTTGTAGTGTACAATTACTTGATTGCACTTATTCCACTTTGTTTTGTATTGTGCTTCTTTTGTTCTTATTCTTACACTTCTACTTCACACCACCAATTACAAGCAACTTTTGATTGATGCCATCTTATAATTTGGATTGAGGGATAAAAATTATATTCACATTTTAGTGCATTTGTTGGGAGATTGTACTTCTAATGGTGTATGTGAGTGTGAATTTTGCTTGTTGTGATTGATCTTGCTTGTTTTGATTGAGTAAGTAAGTCAAGTAAGTCTTCATCATTGGTAAGAGTTTTACATCTCTTCTTTATTGGTGTTAGCAAAGCATTTATAATTTTTAATTTATAAGATAGTCAAAAATTTCATTGTTAAGTTGGATGTTGAATTGCTCGCAGGGTTTTATTAATCAATTTTTATGTATTGCATCTTTTAAGTTGAGACTTTTTGAAATTGGATATCTTGATATTAACTTTCAAAAAAACTATCACATGTTTAAATTAGAGTTGAATATAATTTTTAGTGAGTTTTAGAGAAGAAGATGATTCATTGTTTTGGTAGTTTCATGTATCCCATGTTTGAAAAGGCATTTTTGAGTGCATGGTAATAAAATAAAAGTAAAAATTTTCTAAATAAAAATACTATTATTTACTTAAGCACCTTAATAAAATAGAAAATAAATTTCTAATTGTATGGATGTAACCAAATATCTTTTACAAGGCAATACATCCTTCAAAATAGAAACCATTCCTTCTATATCAAATTCTAAATCATACAAATACTCATTATATATCCACCATCATTGTAAGATAAAAAAAAAATGGCAATTAACCTCAACAAAGCATAGAATATACCACACCCAAAATACAACTAGCCACTCAAACACACTCTACTACTTTTTTGCAACAATCTGAAGACAAAACCACAAACATGAAGGAATAGCTCACTTGGGCAATAGTAAAAGACATCCTAGCACAAATCATGCACAACATCAAGCCTTCAAAAGAAGATCAATTGACATAGGACAAGTAATCAAAATAAAGTCTTAAGTACATTTTAACATGCACAAATAATACAACACACATAGTTCATGATAAATATTGTCATATTATATGAAGTTTGCTTAAGAATATATTGGATATTTGGTTGTGGAAGAAAAAATAGAACTTGCAATAAGATGATCCTAAGAATTCTAGTAGAATCATAAACAAACTTTAAATAAATTATCTTAATATTAATCAATCTTAAATTAAACATAAAAGAAGTCTCAAGAATTTATAAAAGAAATATAAAAAAATCATAAATTAATCTTAATGAAACATATATAATAAAAAAATATTATAAAAACATCAAAAATAATTTTTTTGATTAATCCTAATCAAACCTCAATATAACCTTCAACAAATTTTAATCAAATCTTTAATCAATTCCAATCAAATCTTAATAAAATCCTAAATTATAATCAAATCTTAGACAAATCGTAATCAAATTTTAATCAAATTTGAAATTCTAATCCTTGAAAAAATCTTATTTAAATTCAAATTATATTCTAATTAAATCCTAATCAATTTTTAATCAAATCTTAATCAAATCTTAATCAAATCCTAGATAAATTCTAATGAAATCTTTAAGCAAATTCTAAATCCTAACCTTAGACCAAATCTTATTCAAAATCTAAATAAATCCTATTCAAATCCTAAATCCTAATCTTAGATCAAATACTAATCAAATCTTATTCAAATCCTAATCTTAATCAAATCTTAGACAAATCCTAAATCCTAATCAAATCCTAAATAATCTTTAATTAAATTCTAAATCTTAAACAAATCCTAAATCCTAATCAAATCCTAAACAATCTTTAATTAAACTCAAAATCTTAAATAAATTCTTAACAAATCCTATAGTATATTGAAAATTTCATAAATAATTATTTAATTATTGATTTTGATTAAAATTTCATCCAAATTTCAATTAACAATAAATTAACAATCACACAAAAATTGAGAAGATTCAAATATACCAATTGCAATAAAAGCTCCCAAAATCTCTTGGCCATTAGCTGCCTTCCTTCTCTAACTTGAAGGTTGATCTTTTAATACTGATTTCTCCTTGCTGAACTATTCAATTGTTCCAAAAATTGGATTATGTGTAGATTTTTAACTCTTAATTGCTCTCACCAATTGTTGCTTTAATTCAACTAGCAAATATTTCTAGATCTTGGAATTACTCATTAATTCTAAATTTCAAATTTTTAAGACTATAACCCACAAAAACCCTCATATACTGCAATCTAACTATTTAATTGACTTCAAATTTCACATGCATATTTTTAACAAGCACAACAATAAATTTCCAAAATTTTACATGTATACATACTACAAAACTCACAAAATCTTGAAATTTATAATTTTTTTTTTATTTCTCAAAATCCAAATCTACCAATTACATCATTATTTTTAAAAATCCCTCAAAATCTCAATATTAATCCAAATGACTTGAAACTAACATTCAAAAATCAATTCTTAAGTATGCTCTCAAATTCAACTCTTAGATTGACAAAAGAACCTTGGAGTTGCTGTACGAATGTGGTTTTGTGCCTTGAGGTCTGATTTTGATCCAGATTCACAACTTGTTCTCTTTAGATATCAATTCTTCTTTTCTTGACGTAATTTTTACTTAAACCTATTGTTAACTCTCTTCTAAAGATGTTTATATTATTTACTTATTTTATTTACTTTATTTTGATATATTTATGCTCCTATAAAATAAATAAAAGTTCCTTTTATAAAAGGTAGCATTAAGACTAAAACATTTACTATCTTCCTATCATTTATCTATGTTTTTCTACTATATCCTTTTAATTAGACTCTTCTATGATAAAATACTTTATTTCTTCTTTCACCTAATGGTTATTACATAACAATGTCTTAGATAGCACCTGTGGAGAATCCAAATATCTGGACCCAAGTAAAAACCATGCTGCCAATTCCTAGATACCCGAATATACTCAGGGCACCTAGATATGACACTTAGGTTTCAAAAATGGAACTTTCCATCTGCCATATTCCACATGCTAGTGTGGACTAATCTGCTATAATTTCTAATATTTTTCGATATAAGCCGTTTTGGCACATTTGGACTCAAATGGTAGGGCGCTTGCATAGCATCCAAGATATATGGAGATTGATACCCTGCATCTCCAATATAGCAAATTAGTTTCACTGACCTTTTTCTGCTACCACTCTGCTTTCCAACTCTTCTTCTTGTCTAGAACCGCTGAACCACTTTGTCATCCCCATTTACCTACTACTTCCGAAGTACTGATAGGTCAAATCCAATTCTTATCATCTAAACCACTTCATTATGTACAATCAAATGATGTGGAAAAAAAACATCAAAATGACTTGTTTGAAGTCATTTCCATGGCTGTAGATTTATGAAGGAAATTCTCTTGGCCCTAAGAATTCTATTCATTATCAGTAAATAGAGAAGTGACCATATTTTATAAGGTTGCAGTTGTACAAACATTGTGGGTGAACTTTCTCTTTCATCTTTTGATTATATTTGATGAACAAGCCAGAGTAGTATTTTTTATTTTTTACTTCCTTTTTATGCCACTATCTGTTTTTAACATTGCTGTAAGAATTGCAAATGCTCGAGCACTTTTGCTGTACTGTGCTTGGAGCTTAGTACATTCAAAAATCATTGTTTGTTGGTAGTCATTTTGAACTACTTAAATAATCAAAAGCATCGAAAGAAACAAAATACAATACGACGGATTTGTACATTATTTGATTTTATCATTGAATTGAATTTCAATTCCTAACAGTAACCTTTTGTAGTTGTCAGAGATTGATGTCAATCAATTTTGACGAACTATACAAGACATGAAAGTGCGTGTGTACGAAATAAATAATGCTTCAAAAATTGGCTTCATCAAGCACAGGAACCTGAAGCATCTAGAGTGCATCTGTGTTCAGGGGAGGAAGTCTGTCAGCTTCATGGATGATCATGCCAAACCCTAGAGCAAAAAGATCCAGTTATGGTGGCACGTTGAGCCGTTTTGTTTATCTCTGGAAACTGATGTTACACACTTCAATGGATACATTACTGGGTGCGGGGGTGTAGTGCGTGGTCAAACACAAAGAAATAGTATCGTATTCTTCAGAGGTTGAGAGAGGCATGGATCCAGTTTCAAAGGTCACAAAGTTAAGCTTGTTGCTTCAAACCACGACAGCACTATCGTTTCGAACACTTGCAGGGAGTGTCGATGATCAAGGTAAGAAAAAGTATCTGGTGGTGATAGAAAGTAACGAAGAATGGCAAAAGTCTGCCGATTTTGGTTTTGAGCTGTTCAGTTTTTTGCTTTGGAGTTGAAGATGTGAGCATTAAATGCATTGTTCTCAGTGTGGCCCGTGTTCAGCGATTGGGTATTATCGGCAACTGCCCAATAGTGAGCAGTTAATGGCTCCGTCTGTGGAGAGATGTTGAGATTCCAGTTGATCTGACGAACCTGTGAACCAGTTCACAACTGGATACAGGAAGATTCGTTGCTTGACCACATTAAGGTTCACGTGATACTTCGACTCTCATTATGATAGAGATGAGTTTCGAAGGACAAATTGGCAAAGACGAGAAATGGTGGAAAATTGTTGCGTGATACAACTCTCGTCATATACGGTATGTTCCATCATCCTGTATGTGTCCAAAGTACTCAACGGCAATTTCCATCTGTAGCCGAAGATGCTATTCTATGTGGTGCCGTGGCAGATGCGAGATGGTAGTTAATGCATCTAGACAAAATGACATAATAAGAGCTAAGCAGATCATTAATATAGCTCACCACTTCGACTCATGCAACCAGAGTCGAGAGAATTTGCGCAAGGAAAAAAAAAAAAAAAAAAAAAAACCATGAACAGTGCTAGTGAAAAGATTCTGCACACTTGAAATGGTGTATTTCAGTCTGATGTATGGTACAGCTTTTCCATATAAGAATGGGTAGTACTATCGCTAGGTGATAGTCTCCTAAGTTGAATCTAGGAAGGAAAGAGATTAATGAGGCCACACCTTAGAGCCTCGAGGGCTCCTCTTCCAGTCACCCAAATTATTTACGTCATCTGAGTCTTTCCAATGGAACTCCATCTGCATTGCATAACGGTGACAATATAAATCAAATACTCATAATGAACTAATATGGATCTGTTAAACATTGCTAAAAAAAAATTCCTTCGGTGCACATTCTTGTCGTTGTCAGTGTAACCATGGTCACATTCGTTGCTTTGAATCTGGTGCAATAGACCAGAGAAATTCTTTTCAAAGTATTTACAATAGTGAGTCTACCAACTGATGCAGGGCATGCAGGAAAAACTCAGGCAAATGGACTGGTATTACCTGGCCAACAATCACAGTGTCACCCTCTTTCACTCCTTGTTCTCGCAGTGATCTATTGACGCCACTGGCAATCAAGACATGCTGAAACCGGCGAACTGACTCAAAATACCTGAGTTGTACCAAGGTCAGTGATATGTTGCAACTGTCGACAGCAAATAATATCTACAAGATTCAAAACCTGAAACCCACAGCAAAAACAGATTCTCCAAGGTAGAAGCAACAAACACAAGATTATGAGATGAAAAAATCTATGAAGAGGTATACGAATACTCGAGATATCTATGAAGACATGGAACGGTGAAATACTACAAAATAGGTTTTAACTTACTCCCAATTAGTCATTTGCGTGAATCGATCTAAACCAGCTCCTTTAACTTCCCATGTCCGAGTGCGCTTGTCACTGATAATCTCGTATTTCTCAATCGGAGCATCCCTTATTTTCTTCACCACATCTCCTACTTGTTCGGTATCCTCATTGACCTTTTCCTCTGAAACGTACACACTTCAACTTAGAATTTCCGAGCTAAATTAACAAGACATTAAGGGAAAAAATTGACAATTCTACGGGTCATCCAGGATGGCAGCATATCGAGTATGCAGAGAGCAGCCGATTCATGCGGGTGGTTACCAAATGAACTATTCGCGAGGTAGAATACACAGTCTAAAGTAGGGTCTAAAGAAAGCTGATACACGAGAAGACAAGAAAGAGAACAAACCATCAAGGGACGCCCTTTTCCGGCTTTCAAGGAGTTCATAGGCCTGGTAAACCACTGCCATGGTTCCCTCTTGCGTGGCGGCACTCATAGGAAAAGCCTTGATTCCTTGCTTTTCTAAAGACTCTTGAAACGATGGCCATTGATCAACAGCCTCCTGCGTATCCATTTTGTTGTAAGCTACAACGAACGGTTTCTCAGCCAGCTCAGGATTGAATAATTGAAGCTCTAACCGAATTGCTTCATACTCCTCAAAAGCCTGTGTACAAGTGCCGTCTACCACTTGGACCTGTGATCACACAATTGAAAGTTATGAACATTTGACTTCAAAGAAAATAATTATGCTAAAATTATCGACAGGATTTCTGCAATACCTGAACAAATGAACTCTTCACCCATCCTGACAAATAAACTGGCAGAATAGCACGTTAAAAGCATTAACTTACAAGTACGCTGCAGCGTTCCGTATGACGTAAGAACTCATGACCTAAGCCAATACCCTGATGAGCGCCTTCCAAGAGACCAGGCAAATCGGCAACTACCATTGACGCATCGTAACCAATGGGCACAACCCCCAAGTTCGGCAACAGCGTTGTAAAAGGATAGTTAGCAACTGTAGGTTTTGCAGCACTAATGGCACTTAAAAGTGTGCTCTTTCCAGCGTTAGGGACACCAACAATTCCAACATCGGCGACTAACTTCAGCTCCAATTCTATCCACCTGCAGAGGCCAGGGTCAAACTTTGTTGTCAAAATTTTAATACTAATCGATTACAATCAGAACCACGCACATGAATAAGTGACTATCCAATCATAAAGTGAGAAACTGTAAGCAATCTCCCCAAAGCAACTATTCCCACGAAATCAACAAAGTGAAGAACAGCAACAGAGTGTCTCGGAAAAACCAACATTTCTGCACCAACTTCGCCATACTCTGCCAGCTGTGGAGCCTTGTTACGACCTGTCTTAAAGGCAGCGTTGCCCCGACCACCTCGTCCTCCTGGCAGCAATAATTCCTTCTGTCCTGGTTTGGTCAGCTCCAGAAGAATCTCCCTTTCGCTACCAACATCTTGCCCTTCTGCGGCTCTAATAACGGTACCCACAGGTACCTTCACAACACAATCAGGGCCGTTGGCACCCTCTCTGCTTGATCCCTTCCCATGAGCACCTCGATCAGCTCGGAAATGCACTTGTTTGCGAAACGGCAACAAAGAATTCATAGCCGTGTCCGCTTCTATGTAAATATCTCCACCTCGACCGCCACTACCACCAGATGGACCACCGAAGGGTACGTACTTCTCTCTTCTGAATGCCACTACACCGTTACCGCCATCCCCAGCTTTGACATAAATCTTCGCCCTATCAAAGCAACGCATTACGGCTGGCACACCCCGCTTTTCCTTATCTGTAAGCTCCGAAATCTCTTCTACATATTCAATAGACATTCCTCCTCTTCTTTTCGGTGCACCTCCATCTACCCAAATGCTCTCCATTTCTACTTCTTCTTCTTCATCTCCCCCGAAAGGCCTCGCAGAAGGCTTATTTTCAAACTCAAGGTCCTGAGAGTTATCATAAAAATCCATTATCGATTCATCCTCGAATTCTTCCGTTTCATCTGCAATGGTGCCGAATTTTGCAAAATTCCCAACGGCTGGAATAATATCGTCATGAAATTCATCTTCTGCGGACTTGCTGTCCGCTTCGTCAAATTCCACAGGATCTCTAAATCTATCTGCTGCCATCATTCCTTCGCCTGAAGCACCATCGCTCACAGCTTCTACCAAAGGCTCATTCTGTCACAAAAATATGCCATAGAATCGTTCAGCAAAGTTTACTCATGGATATGGAGTCATTTCTATCTCCAATAAAATCAAAAAATAAAAATTGCAAAAGCCTTTTTGAACTACTAAGTTAGGTTGACAAGTGCAAAATAAATAAATTAATAAACTCAGCACAGAAATCCGTGTAATCTAGACAATACCTGTATTTGAGAGTCAGCCACTTTTTTTTGTTTACGTAAATCTTTAAGTCTGAGAACACCGTCTTGGGGCGAGTATTCTTCTCTAGGTTCGAGAGCAGACACTGAAAAAGCACCTTCATAAGGTAACACCGTGCTTGTAATTTCCTTCAAATCATCTTTATCTTTCTGAACAACTTTCTTCCCAACCCTGCGCGGTGGATTTCCTTGAATACTCCTTTGGAGCTCTTTTCTAGCTGCTGATCTTTCGTTTTTGGCTTGCTTCCGCTCGCTTTTAGTTGAAGAGCCCGCACAGCGACACGCTGTTAACCGATAAGACGCAGCGGAGTTGGTAGACACGGAAGCAGGGGCAGGGCAAGAAGAAACAATGCCGCACCCGGGCTTAAGCAGGCCAACACCAGCCATGACGCAATCAGCGCGACAGCAAAGACGCAGATTGTCCATCCCCACCTTGAAAAACAGCCTCCTCTAGAACCTTATCTTTCAAATTCGAATGCTGCTGAGGCTAGATATAACTAAAACTCTCCGATTCAGTTGAGAAAATGTAGATATGCCCTCTCTTCTCGTCACATTCTTTGGGACAAAACTGTGTGAGAGCTTGGAGATCTGTATTCTGTAATTATGGCTTGAAGCAAGTGAATCTTCCAAAAATGCAAATTATGCGCACTAGTATGTACTACCAATGTTCTTTCAGTCATGCTAAAGGAATACACGTCGTCGGAAAGTTTATAACCGATAAAGAGTTAGCGAGAGAAAATCAGACTCGCAGCTATACTATTCTAAGGCGCATTATAAGTCCCAACATCTCGCGAACAATTCCAAGCAACACTCAAGTAAGCGCAAGGACGAACAGCGTGGACTACAACTAACACCAACCAGAAGCACTTGTTTCGCAGCACGCCTCTCCCAAGCTGCTACGCAAGATGACCGGAAAGCACAAAAGACCGCGCGAAAACAAACCCTATTCACTCCCAACTGAAACCCTCCCGGTTTAGCAACTCGACCTCTAAACTCACAACCAACCTGAACAGAAGTCTTTGAAAAGCTATAAACAACTCAAATGGAAACTGAAGATGGAGAACAAACCAGTGAGTAGGATAAACCTCTGTAAAACCCATAGTAATGCGAGGGACATCCAGAAGGATGGACGCAGTGTATGGAACAGAAACAGCAAACGAAAATTCTTCCTAGGAATGTAGCCGAGGATTGGATAATGGTCGGTCATCCGTTCCTCCTTTGTGGATAATGTTTGGGGCTTCAGGAGAAGCAGAATGGTGCACAATTCGTGTGCCGGGTCAGGAAGGGAATATCACGGAATAGGGTTTCTATTGCCAGGCCCCCTGCTCGGGTGGAGTGAGCTGTGGCTATGGCGCTGTGCCCAGCCCCCCTAACGCAAGTACGTACGCACTCGCTCCGGCCGCGACTCAACACCACGCAACCCCTTTGCGAGACCGTCTCACAAAATCTAAAATAATCTTAGTCAACAAATCTCCTATTTAACAAGGCCCTCTTGAATTTTGACTAATAAATATTATTTTCTTAAGATTTTTTTCTTGTACTCATTCTTAATGCTATTTCTTTATTTTTATTTTTTTATAGTATCAATTATTTACATTTCAAATATCAAAATAGTTATTATTGTAACAATAATCACTTAACAAGACTAATTGTTGATGCAAACTTAATTATCATATCAAATGGAATGATGCATTACATTTAAATTATTATAATTTGAATATATAATATGATTAAAATAGATTATGTTATATAGAAAGAATCTATATTTTACAAAAAAAGTTTCTTTCTTTCATTATTTAATCTAGGTTTATTCATTATTCTTAATATAAGGTAGCCTTAGTCTTGTAACTTTATTATAAAACACATCAAAAGTATAAATCAACGAGTTAAACCAAAGAGACAAATTAGCCTTTTGATTGACTAGATTTCTCAATTATCATTGTTTTCATCAAAACTTAACTTATCTTGCTAATTTACATGGCTTTAATAATACCAAAAGTTGTTTGAAGAATCTTGTAGAGGATAGATCTAGATAGATGCTAAATTTGAAGGTAGTTGCTACTGAATTTTTGAAATGTATGACATAGAGAAGAATAAATATAATATGCAATAGTGCCATCAAAATTTGGCACAATGGATTTTGATGCCTTACAAGGATCATTGACACGACAAAGACGGTAGATATTGGTGCAAAAGGGAATGTGTTTCTATTATCAGGAGCCAAGCCATCAGATCGGAGGTTGTCTAAAATGTCAAAATTCAAGCACCTACAATATAAGGTGGATTCATAGTCTCAAAACTCACCAAGTCAATAATGAGACAATATAGAAAAACATAACTTTGAAATAGGACCATACTATTTCAAAAACATAAGATCTTTATATTCTACAGCAACGTTAAACCTCATCACAAACTAAGATAAAATAGACCAAAACAGAATTGAATGGAACTAAATAAAATAGGATATGAAAGACAAACTAAATAAATGGGAACAGAACATAACAGATCAATAGAGGAAAAAACAGAAAATTGCAAAACCAAATTTTACTAAGAGAAAGGGTCTAAAGCCATACTTGACCAGATGCCTCAAAAGGCCTTGGCCAATTCTGTTTATACCTTATTCTACTACCCTAGACCTTCTAAAATGTTCCTAGGTGGTGAGCTTCATCTAAATAACCTCGTTAATTTATTTTTTAGAAGATTCTATGGTAGGCCTATCTATATAATTATCCTAAATTCTTTCTAGAATTTTCTATAGTGGGTCTTACCTGATCCACTAACCTAATCTTAATTTTGAAAACTTCTATGGTTTTAATTATTTTTATAATTATTTTTTCTATACCCTATTACAGTTAATTCTCCTCCACTAATACAAAACATCCTCGCTTTGCTCTTATTGGTATCTCTTAATTGTCTCTTAGCAATGGGTGAAGTTTTGTGCAGGTTCTCACATTCCATCATGAATGGGATAACTTTTCTAAAGAACTTTGTACTGAAATTGTAAATGTTCACTACCACGATCAAGATAGTGATGCTCTAAAATGTTGTCCACTTCATATTCTTGTTGGTCATTAACTACAATTAATGGTCGTGGAGGTTGATGTCTATCCAGAAAGTGCTTTGGCTCGGTATGAAATTCTTTCAGTTGCAAAACATGGAAGACTCTATAGACCTGAATATGTGGAGGAAGCTCGAGGTAATATGCAATATCAAAAATCACTACAAAAATGAGAAAAGATCCAAGCCACTGAAGTGCTAGTTTACAGATTTGGATTGATGTAATTAGTAGCAAGTTGGTGTTAGAGAATAACACTCCATTATCCTTCCAAAAGGTCTGGTGTTGTCAATGGTTATCAGCATACTATTTTTGTCGATTCTATGTAGTAAAGAAGCAATATTATGCTTCTTGTAAGGCCATTATAAGTCATTATATAAATTCTTCCAATGTCGAGTTATTGGTGTCAATGAGACAATAAATAGTTGCTAGCATAATTGGATGCTGATTGATATTCAAGAAAAATAGTGAATGATCGGTACTTACTTGAATATTATCATTTTAAGCAAATTCTAAGGGCGTCAAGTATTCATCTCAATCATTATGATGAACTTCCATAAATGCCCACAACATATCCTTTAAGGTTTGATTTGCATACTTTGTTTATCTATCTATTTGAAGATGGAAGGCTATAGATATGGCAAGTCATGTGCCAAGTAGCTTGAATAAGGCTTGCCAAAAACTTTTCATGAAGCATGGATCTTAATCTGAAATGATGACATGATGTAATTTATTATGATGAAAGATGGTATCAAAGAAGACTCATATAAGCGTTAGGGCATCAATATCCGAGTGCACCATGGTATCATACTATAAATGCTTATAGTATGTAAAAATTAGTTAAAATATATTATATGTTGAAAAATCTAGATGTGTGTTAGAGTGGTTAGTAGATTAAATTAAAAAGAGTTGGTATAAGAAAACTTACTTTGATTTTGGCATATAAAAATATATACTTGTATATAGGACCTAAATATTTAGTATGAAGCCTTGGAAGAAGGTAGAAGCCTAAGAAAAAAAATCCAAACTAATAGAAGGCTTATTAAAAGGCATGAAAGTAAGGCATGGCCAGATGAAGGCAAGAAATGAGGAACTTCATCTCTATTGGTCAAATATCATACTCAATGGGCTTTAAGTAGGATGTTGGTGACCTTAACAAAGGTTTTGGTAATTTCAAATAGAGCATTCAAAAATTAAAAGCTAAAGTTGTGAGGTTTAGAATTTAGACTACAATTTGTGTGCAAAAATTAGAGGATTTGGAATTAGGATGAAGAAGTTATAGTCATTTGAAGTTAAGGTGTTAATTTAAGACATACTATTACTCTTTTGTGAATATGAAGAATTATACGGCAGTTTTGGAGATTGGAAGGTGCGGCTAGAATAGTGATTTCAAGGCCTACATCTTTTATGAAGGAACTATTGCTTTTAGAGTTTATATAAAGGAGATATAAAGAGTTGAAGATGACACTTTTAAATCAAAGGCAGTCAATGAGTGGTTTTGTTTATAGTAATGGTTGGAGCTATAACTTGAGTTTTTAGACAAATTTTTGGCTCAAATTTTTTGGAGAATAAAAATTTTTTTATTATAAAACTATACATATAAATTTCGTGGCATTTGAGCTTTTATTTTGTGAGATATAAAGAAAATTGCACGTGGGTGTATAAAGACAAGGGTTTGAAGTGATTGTTAGGGTTTTCAAGATATCTCAAGATCCGCAAGGAATTTGCAGTTGAAATTTTTTGTGGAAGTTGATAAGAATACATCAATACTTCATGCAAAATTTGAGTAAGTTTGGATGGTTGGATCAGGAGATATGAGGTATTGAAGTTTAAGAAAATTTCTATATAAGGATATATAAGGTTTTAGAGGATTTTATCATATTTTCGATGTTGTTGGTTACTTGAGGCTTATATATTTGGTGTAATTGCTCCAAAAAGGAAATTTTATATATAAACTTAGGACTTCCTTTATTTTGAAGCTTGATTGAGTAATTAGTGATATCTAGGAGCCTACTTCTATCTTGAGGCAAACACTCTCTATTCCAATAATGGCAAAGTAAAGTTGCTTTGAGAGTTGATCTACAAAGATAGCAACTATAATATTATTATTAGGCATCTATGATAGACGTATAATAAAATCCATAGTCACCTACTCTCAACATGCAATAGGTAGCGGAATTGGCTATAATAGTCTAAGAGACTTACATTGCATGCTTTGTTATATTGGCATGACTCAGAAGAGCTTATAAAGACCTAAACATCATGATCCAAATTTATCCAAAATCTTATCTTTGAAATCCATTCTAGGATCTTTTCTTGTCTCAAATGTCTAGATATTGGGATATCATATCCCTCCAAAAGTATGTACGTTTGGGGTTTAGCATTGTTGGATACATAAATTTGCTTCGTCAAATAGAGCAAGCCATCACTAAGAGTGAAATCTTGATATTGTATATTGCCGAACTTCAGCCAATCACAAACCATCTTAAGATAAGTATCCTGTTGCATTGCTGTGTGGTGGTTTGACTACCATGTAAAAATAATATATTTATATATTTAATGTATAATTTACTTAGCTATATGGTGAGAGCTATGTTACTTGATTTTAGTTGGTTGTAGAATGTGGTTAAATTACTACTTTAAAAAGAGGTTGTTTAAAAGAATTACTATTAGAATTTGTATAACTTTATTTTCTTTTGATAGTGACTTTTGAAGTTGATTTTATTGATAGTAACTTTATATATCTAGAGTCATCTTTATTAGATACTGGTGACCCTTAAAAAAAAAAATTTGATTCTTTAATTTAGTGTTTAAGGCATATAATATATAAATCTTATATGAAAAGGGATTGAAGAGGGATTTTGGTAGCAAATTAGATAGTAAGGGTATCCATATGAATGAATGGAAATGGATGATATAAATCTCCATTCCTATTAATCAAAAACCGTGACTAATGGCCTTCAAGGAGGCTGCCCGAGGCCATATTAGGAATTAGGGTTAGTTTTTCGAAGAGATTTGAATGTAAGAGGCTAAGATCGGAAAGTTCAGGTTTTTGGCTATGGTTTTGGTATAAATTTTGTGTGATTTGGAGTTTATATGAAAGAGATATGGGTGCTCAAAGTTAAGGTGTTGATTTTGTACCTATTGTCATTCTTTTGGACATAACGTGCACATACAAAAAGCAATAAAGAATCAGTATCTAGGGTTGGAGAGAAAAATTTTGTGGCTATATTTTTGGCATATTAGTTTATG